CCTGGCCTTGCTACTAGTAACAAGAAGCTACTAGGAACAAGAAACTTGCTTGGGAATCGTTTCACCTGTGGTAACAAGAAGCTAACTCATCCCACCAGCAATGTTTTTTCATCCAGACCATTTGCTTCGCAGCCTGCTGTGTTTGTCGCGCGCCGTAGGCAGCAGCAGCAACTACGTCGGGGTGTTGAAGAGCAAAAGAGGTTGGGTCAGGCGAGGGAAACCCGAACCGCTTTTTGAGTCTTGGCCAGGTGTCGATTATCGAAGATGTGATGCGATTTATTTCAATGATTGACAAACATCTTTCACATTCCCTTCTAGTAAATCACAAGTGCATCGCTTCTAGTAACTTTGTTTAAGATTTATTTTCTTGTGAAATTCTATTTTAAATTATGTTAATGCTCGATGCTTTTTCGTTCCAAGTGAAGGGCCCCGGATCTCTGGCGTGTTCTCGCGACGTTGCTTTGTTCACTTCCGGGAACTTGACCGAAACAAGTCACAAAACGGCCTGCCTCGTTGCAACGGCATCGCAAGTAATTAGGTTCATGTGAGAGTTTCAAAAGAAAGTTAAAGAGTTTGAAGGGTTCTTCTAGTAGCAAAGGCATTACTAGTAACAAGAAGCCACGAGTAACCTTTTGGAGAAGGTCTTGAGTGGAGTCGGGGAGCATTTTGCAGGCGTGACGCGTCACTTTTGGAGGAAATCTCGTGCGAAATGCTTGTGCGGAGTGCTTGTTTTGGAGACTTGACGCGTCAACAGCGAGGATTTCGTCGAACCTTCTCCAAGACAAGAGTGGCCACGATCACGGTGCAATATACCAGAGTGTCGCAAAGGAGCGTCAAGGACAAGTCCCACAAGAGTGTTCCACAGAGTGTTCTACAAGAGATTTACCTAGTAACAGGAAGCTATCAGGTTGGAGGCCATCGCTCTTAGGTTGGAGGCAATTACTACCTTTACTTTCTTGTTGACAACTCTTTAAACTAAACCTACTTGCGATGCCCTTGCTCCAGGCAATCATAATTCCAATTGTGACCGCGGGCGTAGCTTTTAAGCCACTGTGGGATTTCAAGCCACGGGAGGTTGTTTACACACCTTGCCATGGCAGCAGTCAAACAAGTAGAGACAACGATAAGTCGGTTTGGCGCATTTTTTCTGGTCCCTTGATGGATTCATCAGTTTGATTGGGCGCCAAATAGCACCCAAGGAATTGGAGATCATGGCGGCTTTGGCAGTCCGAGCGCAACAGTTGCATGGGAAGCATGAGGAGTGGCCGGGCGGGAAAAAATGCGAGTGCGAAGCTGAAAGGCACAATCGCGCGTATAGCTGTTGGACCCTGGCTCCCCTATTTCTTTTGGTACCTTTTTGGTTTTCTTGTGTATAACTGTTTTGTTGCGTCCGTTGCCATGCCCAACCCTTTTCTCTCTTACCGGTGTTGTACTCCCAAAAGCATCTCCGATGTTTGGGTTCTCGTTTAGTCGCTAGTGCCGCGGAAGAGCGAGACAAAGTGTGCGTTGTCGGGGACGGAAGATGGATGTGGAGGCGGACGGGGTTGGAAGGGAAGAGGGAGGGGAAGGAAGGGAGGGGAGCGAGACGGGAGGCGCATATGGGTGTGGACGAAGCTGTGGAAGGAAGAGGGGCGGGGCGCGAGACGGGAGTGGAACGAAGCATGGAGGGCGCGATTGCTGCTCCATGCTTAGCGATCTTGCGCGGCTGATATGCTAGTTGCGAGGACATGGTTGCGCCGCAAGCATCATTGCAGGCTGCTCCGGGTCAGTTCACAAGTCGAACGGAGCATGGGTGGGGGTAGTCGGGTAGTTCTGCTCCATGCTTCACGGAAACACGTTCTGACGCGAGCTGTGTTGCAGGGCTTATATGATGGTCTTGGGTGTCCAAAATGTGCACAATAGCATGCGCCAGACAGTCAAGTCATGGCCGAAACGGCAGGATTGTTGCATGCAGCCGCAATGCTTGAAATTTGATGGTTGGAACGAAGCATGGAGGGGGCTGATGCTGCTCCATGCTTCCTGGAATGGTTATCAGAAGCCATGTTGCAATGGGGTTGGAGACTAGCTGCAGAGATTGAAAACAGCCACTTGATATGTATATATACATATATAATACATCCAACCTCCAGACCGACTAAAAGGGAACCGTCTTGTTTTCTTCTTACTGTAACGATATGTCTATCCAGTATAGGGTCTATGCCGGTGTAAATTCTTAAAATCGAAGCCCGCAAAGGTTTGGGCGAGAAAAACAAACGACAAATCCTTTCCTCCTGGGATATCTCCGCCATATCGACGCCCTGCTCACGCCAACGATGCACGTCACCGGAAATCTATGCCAAACAATTAAACACTAGACGACGAATGACCCGAAAGCATTTTACCGCGTGTGATGCACTGTAGCGCTGGCACAGCAGTACACATGCGTGCGCTTTTCCCAAAAGAATCTCCGATGCTTGGGTTCAATCTACTTCAGTGCTCCAGGGTTCTTTCATGGTCAGGGTCCTTTG